ACGCTGCACTGGGTGGGTGAAACGCAGGGAGCAAGGGCTGTGTTGGAGGGTGGCGGACGCATGCGGGCGTTGCCACCGGGACCCTCGGTGGAGCCCCCTTATGGGGCCACGAAGCGCTGTACTGGGTGGGTGAAATTCAAGGAAGAGGGACGAGGGGGAGGAGGCAGGGGGAGGAGGAGGAGAGGAGGGACGCGGGGACCCGTCTCTTCAAAACGAGGACCCAACATCACAGGATGGTTGGGAAATACAACGGTCATAGGAGATAGGGGATCCGCAATACTTATTCTTCAGTAGTGAGAGGTCAACAACAACGATCACAACAACAACAACAACAACAACAACAACAACAGCAACAACAACAACAACAACAACAACAACAACAACAATCACTTTACCCGAACGCTCAGTGTTCTCACCAGTGCCAGGGTTTTCATGCGACGCCAGCCAATACCCCCACTTTGTGGGGGGGCAGTGCAAGCTCTACCAAATATCCACACGACTCTTCGCCACCACCCACACCCAGCTTCCCGCCCTATGACGTTCGGACACTTCACTTCGTGGCCTGCGGACGACCGTGGCTACTACACTGGCGTGGGTACACACCCACAGATTTAGCTCGCGCGAGCTCATGTAACATAAATGTTGAAAACCATTGGTTTTTTTCAGGATTCGGACAGCGCGCGCGGGTAGAAATTTTGAAAAGTCGTGCAGGTGTTTTTCGAGGACCTACGGTGCGATTCGTGTGATTTTATGATGCGCGGTGCTAAAATTCTTAAGAAGCCCAATGGTTTTTGGAGATTTCGGCGTGCGCGCGCGAAGAAAAAACGAATGTGTCCCGCATGGTATTATTTGACAGGGATGATGGCCCTGGCAGGTGCGCAACCGTTGTCGCAGAAGTTCGAAAAAGTTGCTCGCAAAAGCCCGTTTGACAGAAATGTTTAAAAAGTGTTGGGTTTCCTACGAATCCGCAAGAGCGCGCGGGATGAGATTTTGACATTTTTTGTTGAAAAACCATTGGTTTTTTTATGTTTTTATGTTAAAATCGCTCCGAACACTAAGCTTTTGGAAGGATTTCGTCTTGCGCGCGCGAATGTCCACTTTACCTTATTTTTTGCAAGGGATTCTTGAAATTTGATTATATTAGAACAAGAAATGTCATTTTATAGTGTTTTTTGCAAGGGAAAGCGGATTACAACAAAACAACCGGATCTTGATCACATCGAATTACCTGAGGCTTCCTCACGAAAATGATGAAAATGTAGCTGCGGCCTAGGCGGCGCAGGGGGGCCGTGCACCAGGGGCCCCAACAATAATTATTCTTTAGAATTAATAATGTTCAACAACAACAACAACAACAACAACAACAACAACAACAACAACCATAAGTTTAAGACCGTTCGCCCTTATATGCTCGAGTGTCCAATAACGCGTATTTCCCAAACCCTCGATACCCGCCCTCTTCGTCTTCGATCGAACCCCTTTTGGGGGGTATACCTGTCTTCCCTGCAGGACGGGCCCCGGCAAGCGGCGGGGCGGCCGCGGACCGTCGGCCTGGCCAGCGGCAGCGCTGATCGGCGGGGCGGCCGCGGACCGTCGACCCGACCCCAAGAGGGACGGACAGGGGACCGACCACGACGACGACCGACGACGACGACGACGACGCGACGACGACGTCGAAGACGACGTGCGAAAACGGCGAACGACGAGCAAAGCGAGAGCGAGAAGAGTCAGGCAAGGGCCACGAAGGGCACGAAGTAGACCACGAAGGGCGACAGCGGGGACACGAAGGGAATGCGTATGGGGCCACGAAGAGTGCGAACGAGCGGGGGCCACGAAGTGCAGATACTGCGGGGCCACAGAAGGCAACTATGGGGCCACTGAGGGTAGCAACTGGGCCACGTAGGACAATGAGGGGAACACAAATGGCGACAGCGGGGCCACGAAGGGCATGCACATGGGGCCACAACGGGCGCGACTCCTGGGTGCCTGGGTGTCGGGAGCGCGGCGCTCGGGCAAATTGCAGGAAATTCCAACGCAAGGCTATTCTTCAGTAAGTTGCAAGCAAGTCTCCAGCGAGAGCGCGACTCCAGAGCTCTGGGAGAGCGATTCCTGAATAAATTGTAAGGAAGTCCCAAGCGAGAGCGCGATTCCTGAATAAAATGCGAGGGAGTCTCGGGCGGGAGCGGGGGTCCTGCCTAAATTGTAAGGAAGTCTCAGGCGGGAGCCGTTGTTGTTGTAACCCGGGGGCCAGGGGGCCAGTTTGAGCAGGAAGACTTTCCCTGTCAAAAATCGGGGTGCGAGCGTCGAGGGGCACACTTTGATTGAGAAAAGCAGCATGCACCGGTGAGGGGGGATCAACAATAATTATTCTTCAGGAATGAGAATTCAACAACAACAACAACAATCACTTTACCCGAACGCTCAGTGTTCTCACCAGTGCCAGGGTTTTCATGCGACGCCAGCCAATACCCCCACTTTGTGGGGGGGCAGTGCAAGCTCTACCAATATCCACACGACTCTTCGCCACCACCCACACCCAGCTTCCCGCCCTATGACGTTCGGACACTTCACTTCGTGGCCTGCGGACGACCGTGGCTACTACACTGGCGTGAGTACACACCCACAGAAGTTGTTAGGACAGCGCGCGCGGGTAGAAATTTTGAAAAGTCGTGCAGGTGTTTTTCGAGGACCTACGGTGCGATTCGTGTGATTTTATGATGCGCGGTGCTAAAATTCTTAAAAACCCAATGGTTTTTGGAGATTTCGGCGTGCGCGCGCGAAGAAAAAAAACGAATGTGTCCCGCATGGTATTATTTGACAGGGATGATGGCCCTGGCAGGTGCGCAACCGTTGTCGCAGAAGTTCGAAAAAGTTGCTCGCAAAAGCCCGTTTGACAGAAATGTTAAAAAAGTGTTGGGTTTCCTACGAATCCGCAAGAGCGCGCGGGATGAGAATTTGACATTTTTTTGTTGAAAAACCATTGGTTTTTTGATGTTTTTATGTTAAAATCGCTCCGAACACTAAGCTTTTGGAAGGATTTCGTCTTGCGCGCGCGAATGTCCACTTTACCTTATTTTTTGCAAGGGATTCTTGAAATTTGATTATATTAGAACAAGAAATGTCATTTAATAGTGTTTTTTGCAAGGGAAAACGGATTACAACAAAACAACCGGATCTTGATGACATCGTATTACCTGAGGCTTCCTCACGAAAATGATGAAAATGTAGCTGCGGCCTAGGCGGCGCAGGGGGGCCGTGCACCAGGGGTCCCAACAATAATTATTCTTTAGAATTAATAATGCTCAACAACAACAACAACAACAACTACAACAACAACAACAACAACAACAACAACAACAACGTCAACAACAACAACAACAACAACAACAACAACAACAACAACAACAACAACAACAAGAACAACAACAACAGCAGCAGCAGCAGCAGCAACAACAACAACAACAACAACAACAACAACAACAACAACAGCAACAGCAACAGCAACAACAACCATATGTTTAGGACTGCTCGCTCTTATCTGCTAGCGCGACATTCAACACGTATATCCCCAACCCTCGATACCTGCCCTCTTCGTCTTCGATCGTGTCCCCCGCTTGGGGGTATGTCTTTCGTACCTGCACCGTGTATTTCGTGCAGCGCCTAAAGCAGGGGAAGAGCGGACGGATGGAAGGAAGGGACAAGGGGGAGAGAGGCGGATGGAGCACGAGAAAGAGTAACTGGAGGGGGGCTAGGAACAGAAAATACGTGGCAGAACCAGACGGGGCAGATCGGGCGGGTAGACCCTAACAGGCGGGTCGGGAAGGCGGGCCCAGGTGGCCAGGTCAAGCTGGCGGGTTGCTGAAGCGTGGGTCCTGCATGAATCGCGAGGAAGTCTCGAGCGGTGGCGCGATTCCCAAGTAAATCGTGAGATAGGCAAAAGCGAGAGCGTAATTCCTGAGTGTCGAGGGCGCAGCGTTGGAATAAATACGAGGAAGTCCCACGCGAGAGCGCAATTTTTGCATAAACTGTGAAGTCCCGCGCGGGAGCGCGATTTGGGAATCAATCTTGCGGACGCAGTCCGCTTCTCAAGAGGTCGGAGGGCTCTGACAGGCCCCGCCGCCTTTTTTCAGGAGGCCTTCGCGTTTCCGCTTGCTCCCCCGTGCTCGCCGCCGACGGTCAGGCGGGAACGGCGGATATCTGGGCGTTGATCGTCGACTCCGAAGGGTGTGAACTGCAAAGGGTGCGGTTTGCAACCGGCACCCTGGAAAACACCCTGGGGAGGCGGGCGAGGACCTCGATAAAGCTCTCCGCCGCGCCCCGAGGAGGCCCGACGAGGACAGCAGCGTGCCCTCCAGGCCCCACCGGCGCCAATCGCAAACAACACCCCGGCGTAAGCAAACTTCCCTGAGATCAGACGCTGGAACAAACAAAACATCGCACAAAATCACGACCAGAGCCCCGGACCCCATCGTTCTGCGTTATTTTTCGAATTGCATCGATCTGCGCGGGTCCTGGCGCCCGAAATGGAGCGAAAACACCCGCAGTGGAAAAAATGCAACGCCAAAATCTCAGGATCTCTGCAGTCGCCGAGTATAGCTGGGGGATTCCGGAAACCCTGAACCCAAAAATGTCTTCATCTCTTGGGGGCGCATGTTTTACTTCCGCCACCTTCCGCCGCCCTTCCGCCAGCTTCCACCGGCGGAGGCGGCCTCGTTCTGCTTCCGCTGACCTCCCGCCGCCCTTCCGCCGCCATCCGCCGAGGAAGAGATGACAGTTTCTTCTATCCTTAGGTCGGGCATGTCCTCCTACAGGCGAATTCAGGAGATACTTCAAGAATAATCCAGAAAAAACTCCAAAAGAATCGGAAAGAGTCAAGAAATCGTCCCCCGACTATTATTTGACTACTTGTGAATCTTCCTCCCGTAGGGGGACACGCCCGACAACATGCTACCCTCGAAGGCGAGGCCCCTTCTGGAACGCCTCAGCTGGTGCCCTCCGGCCTGTTGACCGCCCTGGCGTGCTCCGGCGGCGGCCAGAACCCGCCCTGGGGCACCGCGCTCCACGCCTGCCCGCGGCCGACGGCCGAGAAGGGCGGCGCAGGACGCCGGGCGTGGGAGGAGCCCGGCCCGTCCTCGCGGGGTGCGCCCGAAAGAAACCAGGCCCCCTCCAGTCGAGAGAGACTGCGGCCCTCCTATTCCTCCTCACTCCTCCTCCTCCTCCTCCTCCTCCTCCTCCTCCTCCTCCTCCTCCTCCTCCTCCTCCTCCTCCTCCTCCTCCTCCTCCTCCTCCTCCTCCTCTCCTCCTCCTTCCTCCTCCTCCTCCTCCTCCTCCTCCTCCTCCTCTCCTCCTCCTCCTCCTCCTCCTCCTCCTCCTCCTCCTCCTCCTACCTCCCTCCTCCTCCTCCTCCGCCTCCTCACCCTCCTCCTCCTCCTCCTCCTCTTCCGCCTCACGTCACATTATCCTCCTCACTCCTATTACCTTTCCCCTCCTCCTCCTCCTCCCTCCTCATTCCTCCCTCCCTCCTCCTCCTCCTCCTCCTATTCCTCCTCACTCCTATTCCTCCTCCTCCCTCCTCCTCCTCCTCCTCCTCCTCCTCCTCCGCCTCCTTCCCCCCCCCCCCCCCCTCCTCCTCCTCACCTCCTCCTCCTCATCCCTCCTCCTCCTCCTCCTCCTCCTCCACCTCCTACCTCCTCCTCCTCCTCCTCCTCCTCCTCCGCCTCACTCCTAATTCCATCAATCCTATTCCTTCTCCTCCCGCATCCTCCTCCTCCTCCTCTCTCCTCCTCCTCCCTCCTTCCTCCTCCTCCTCCTCTTCCTCCTCCTCCTCCTCCCCGCCTCCTCCTCCTCCTTCCTCCTCCTCCCCCATCCTCCTCCTACCTGAGAGCAAAGACGTTCCGCAAGCTGACATCCTCCTCCGGGGAGCTTCTTCGGCCGTCGTCGAGTCGAACGGGGCGATCGTAGCTGGGTGCTCGGGGGCCACGACTTTCGCCAAGATGTTGCTTCTAGGACCGCTCTTGGAGGCCCGTGAGAGCAGGAACTTGTTGTATGTGCGCAATGTGGTGGACGACGTCACTGTTCAGAGTTGCGGGCCCAAGCTTCAGGTTGCGGCCCAATTGGCTGATGCAGTAGAGTCTCTGTTCAAGAGCTTCAAGCAGCTGCAGCTTCCCGTGGAGTTTAAGAAGTGTGCCTACCTCTGTTCGAAGGAGGTTGAGGCGCACCTGTCCAAGGCCTGGTCCCTACCCACCTCGTGCCGCACCGACACGGCGCGGAATCTAGGGACCAACGCTACCCTGGGAGGCCTCCGCAGGATTGGAATTCAAACTCAAGGTTTGCAGGTGCTTCGCGCAGGGCCAGGAGGCTCAAGATATTGCAAGGAGCTGGAGCTGACATCGGTATGGTTCACAGGATGGGGCCCGTGGCATCGGCCCTCTGGGGATCCTCGGTCTCTGGGGTGGCCCCTACAAAAATGGCTGGGCTCCGTATTGGTGCTGCAAGTTCCCTAGGCAGGCTCCCTAAAGGTGCTTCGGTTGGGCTCAGGATGTACACGTACGGGCTCGGGGCCAAGGTAGACCCGTTGGTGGTTTATGTGGGGCACGTTCTGTTTATGTGGGCTACTGCTGTTTGGGAAGCTGTCCCTCACGTTCAGGTGTTGGCCAATACCATGAGGGTCTCGATCGCCAAGTTTCAGAATTCAGCTCAGCCTTGGAGGTCAGCGTCTTCTCCCAGCGACGTCGCGCTATTAACGTTGCGAGGCATAGGCTGGGACTTTGTAGACCAGCACACCATCAAAGATGACTTGAATGTGGTGCATGACTTGTTCAGGCTTTCCCCGATGCAGGTCAGGACTTTGATCAGGCAAGGTGCTGTGCGAGCGTCAGATAGACATGCCCTGCACTTGCAGAACGGCCTTGATGGGCCGCCTGTGTACCCTATCTTCTGGGATGGTATTTCCAGGTTGTTCAGGGAGAAGTCTGTAGACTGGGGAAAGCACCATCAGAGATGCTTAAGAGGCTTGGTCTCGGGAGTTCACTGGCCCCAAGCTCGTCTGCATGCTCACAACCTTCACGATGATGATCAGTGTCAGGTGTGCAAGGGGGCCCCAGGTACTTTGTGGCACCGTCAGTACGAGTGCCCTGCGCATGAAGGCCTGCGGCGAGACCTTGCGAGTGTTCACTTGTGTAGGTGTGCGCGGAGAGTGAAGCAGTTCGGGCCGCTGATGGCGGAGAGATTCGCGAGGTGCATCTTTCCTCACCCTCGCTCGCTCTTCGACGTAGAGGAGCCCACGCAAATTGTTCACTGGCACGAGAGGCCCGAGACGGGGTTCTTGACGGGGTTGCTCTTCCTTGACGGGTCGGCTAAGTACATGGGCCTCGATGGGCTCACTCGGGCTGGTTGGAGTATCGTGTCGGTCGACAGGTTTGGGGAGTTGATCTCGGCGGCCTACGGCCCAGTTCCACTGAGTGCGGCCCCGCAGCAAACTAGTAAAGACGGGGAAGACTATGCTGTATATATGCTTACGCAAGTAGGTCTTCCCCCTTTTCAATGCTACATTGATTGCCAGAGCACTCTGGATTCGTTGGCTCGGGGCCCTGGGTTCGCGGAGGGCCCTGGAGCCCCCCGTGGTCACCTGTGGGGCCCCGTGTGGAGCTCGTTCACTCTCAGCGATTTCGAGTGTTATAAGACGCTCGGCCACGCCACTGCGGCCGACGTCGAGGCTGGCAGAAGCAGTGTTTGGGAAAGACGGGCCAATGGGCTCGCATATAGGTTTGCTAAATTAGGAGCTGAGTGTCATGGGGTCAGCGACGATGAGGCCAACCTGTACAGAGGCCTCAGGTGCCTTGCCCGCGAGGCCTGCAGGTGGGCTGGATCGGTCGAGGTGCTGATGTCCAGTGGGCCCCGTGACTCAACTGGCCTAGTGCCCAGGTCGACAGGCAGCGATGGCCAGCGGCAGCACCCACAAGACGATGATGCCCACGGCCAGGCCCTGGCCGACGACCAAAGGGAGGTGGTAGGTTCTTTGGACTTGGGGGAGGAGTGGCGGCCGTTCTCTCGGCAAGTTTTTCGGGCCAACGGTCATGCGTTTTTGGCCTGCCCTGTCTTGGAACCTCCTGGAAACCCCAGGGGAAGGATCCAGTTTTGTTGTCGGTGCGGATCGTTTTTCTCTGGGGCTCCCAATGCTGGAGCTAAAGGCCTGTGTAGGCCCAAATCGACGACGGGTGGAATTAATGACCAGCTGAGAAGGATTCGGCAGGGCAAGTTTCCGTCGTACAAGAAGGACCTGAAGAATTTAACTCTGGGGGCTCACGTGAGCCTTAGCCTCGCCGAACGGAGGGTCTTGGCTCAGACGCTGGAGGAGGATGGCCAGGCCCCCCAGGGAGTTTCAGGTCCTGCCACTGTAGGCTTCGCGGGGGGCTTCGCCCCGCGTGAGCAGGTTTTGGATTCGTTCGGCCTTGCAGAGTCGGATTTACCCTGGGTCAAGGACCTAGGTGCCGTCTCCCTCCGAGCCTCGAACTCCGGTTTCGAGTCAGACTCGGAGGCGTCCGATTTTGGCTGAATGAGGAGGTGATTTGGCTTCAGGCCCGTCCCCAACAACCTCCTCCTCCTCCTCCTCCTCAATCCAATTCCTCCTCACTCCTATTCCTCCTCCTCAGTCCTCCTCCCTCCTCCTCCTCCTCCTCCTCCTCCTCCTCCTCCTCCTCCTC